ATATTGCTATTTTAACATAGGGTCTTACGGGAACTGAGACAAATAATAAATCATTCAAAAACTATTAAAACCAATGCTAAAAATTATATTTTTTGTATCATGTTTTTCAAACATGTAAAAATTTTCTGCGAAGTTTTGAAACGATTTGCTTACTTGTTTTGCAATTATTATTAAGGAAGCGATTTGATCATCAATTGACGCGATATCGACGACGGAACATGACAACATCCGCATCCCGACTTAATCTTTCAAACTAAAAAATTTTTTGTATCCTGTTTACCTGTTTTTCAAACATGTAAAAGTTTTCTGCGAAGTTGTGAAACGATTTCCTGGCTTGTTTTGCAATTATTATTAAGAAAGCGCTATGATCATCAATTGACGCGATATCGACGACGGAACGTGACAACGCCGCATCCCGACTTATTGTTAATCTTTCAGGCTAAAAAATGTTTACATTTTCATTAAACTCAAATTCTATTCACAATAAACAATACTTTAAAATATGATTTTATTAAAGGGTAGGTAAGGAGAAACGGCCAATGCGAGCCCACAGCAGGTGTCCGTGCGAAATTGTCAATGTTTTTTTTTAAAAACAATTTAATAAATAATCCAAATGGTTCGACCCGTTTTTGGGTCATCCTCAGTGAAACTGGGATAAAAGATATGATACATAGTGTTAAACAACTTTACAAAATATTAATATAAATTTGCGAAAAAATACAATGAATTTTTACCTGATTGGATACATAACTTAAGACCACTATTATCGAGAATTATCCTCTGAAAGTTTCAACGAAATTTAATCTTGACACTAACATAGTTACGTTACCAACTCAATTATTGTTTTGGCAATCCTTATTTGCTACACCAGTTTTACTTTTATTTTCGCACTACCACTTGTCAATGTCATTGTCATTTATTATTTATCACTCGTCGTGACTGTCTTCTCTCAAACTCGGTGAGTTATTACATTTGAATTCATAACGAATAGTTTAACGAAATACATTCTCTACTTTTAGAATTATCGAATTAACAAATCTAACTCTTTACTTGGCAATCACCAGTTCAAAGATTAAATCTCGTTGAAACTGTCAGAGGATAATTCTCGATAATAGTGGTCTTAAGTTATGTATCCAATCAGGTAAAAATTCATTGTATTTTTTCGCAAATTTATATTAATATTTTGTAAAGTTGTTTAACACTATGTATCATATCTATTATCCCAGCTTCACTGAGGATAACCCAAAGACGGGTCGAAAAGTTTGGATTATTTATTAAATTGTTTTTAAAAAAAAACATTGACAATTTCGCACGGACACCTGCTGTGGGCTCGCATTGGCCGTTTCTCCTTACCTACCCTTTAATAAAATCATATTTTAAAGTATTGTTTATTGTGAATAGAATTTGAGTTTAATGAAAATGTAAAAATTTTTTAGCCTGAAAGATTAAGGGCCAGTTTCACAAACGTCGGTTAACTGTTAACCAGAGTTCAGTCAACTTCCTATCTTTTCCTATTTTGTTATCTAAGAAGAGACAGAGAATCAATTAACCTTCGGTTAGCAGCTAACCGAAGTTTGTGAAACTGGCCCTAAGTCGAGATGCGGCGTTGTCACGTTCCGTCGTCGATATCGCGTCAATTGATGATCATAGCGCTTTCTTAATAATAATTGCAAAACAAGCCAGCAAATCGTTTCAAAACTTCGCAGAAAACTTTTACATGTTTGAAAAACATGATACAAAAATTTTGCATGCTGCCGAGTCCGGCCTTCCGCTCCTCCGTGCATTTATTGGCTCAGACGTTTCTCTTAATTAGGCGATAATAATTACGGATTTTGTAAAATTTTATATAACTTTTCTTCTCAGTTTAACCCAATCTACTATAATCTTTGGGGTCGGCCATATCGAATCTGACACCCTGTATGTGTATAAATATTTTAATATAATTGGAGGGCCTTTTCGTGAAAAGAATGCTTGAACGTATCAGCATATGTGTATCCCATTAAATATAAAAATATTAATCAAAGTATAATAAAAAAAACGGCAAATAGAAAACATTTAAAAGTAGAAACTGTAACTCTTTCACTTTCACTTGGAGATATTTCGCAATTATTATTCTAATAAGATGCAATTGTAATATATTTACAAAGTATATTTTCCCAAAACATATTTTTAAAGATGTAAGACAGAATATCGATGGGAAAGTGACAGGGTTAACTAAGAGAAGAATAAAAGAATTTAACGCAAGGAAATGGCGCTGCTATAGCAATTACAACACATAATGTTAACTGCCATAATGATAATTTATAAGACAAAATATTTTTTATTGCTAATCTTATTTATTGGTTACAATACGATGTGTATGAGAAATGTCAGTGACTTACAAATAAAACTAGAAATTGGAATCATATGGTTGATATAAAGCCAAACAATATTGAAATTACTTATTTAGTATTTAATCGAATCGAAAAATGTTTTCAGTTTTATTAACACATTGTTATTTTTATCTCTCACTATACTTTCGCGTTTAGCTCTCCTAGGTACCTTCTTCATGTACTCTGTGTAAAACTATGTGAAAATTTGTTAGCAATATGGACCTTGACTTCTCTCACTCTGTTTTTCGTTCATCAATTGTTCTTTGCGACCATTAACGTCACTCGATCAAGCCGATAACAAAAGGACAATTAGGGAAACGGATGGAGTCAACATGATGAAGTGAATTTATATCCGACAAATAACGTACGAACCCCGTTCTGTCGGTCGCCGGAACAAAACCCGAATGCCGAACGTTCTGTTCGACGTCGATGGCTCTTTTTTTACTCGAGATCGATTGAAAATCCTGTCGACTGCCGATCAGCGCTGCGCGCGTATGATCGATCGATCGATATCGAATGGAGCGTTTATCGGGCAATATAATACAATAAGTTACTCAAAATGTTATCCGAAGCGTTAAAGGAAAAAAATTACAAACAACAAAGGCGATGGAAACAGTGACATACACGTTTACAGATACACGCGGTTATCAACACAAGTATACATACATACATATACACGTACACATACAAGATGTTAATAAATTGGAATAAATGTTACAACTATATTTCAAAATTTCTACTTTCTCTTTAATAGCATCCTATCATATAGAGACGATGAAGTACAAATTTCATTAAGATCTTATCGGTATTAAAATATTAAACAATATAAATATTTTTATAGTTATTATTTATTACTACTTTCGTGTTTTTTTCGCTTCTATATGTCAAAAAATGTTTACGTCGAACCATATTACATTAATTACATTTAATTGTTTATCTCGAACTGCATAGAAGAGAACTTTTGTATATGTATAGTATTATATTTGTTCATGTGTATTTCGTTTTTTTAATCATTATCATGATTAGTTTAAAATATTTACTGAAACAAGTCAATTGTATGCTAACAGTTGTAAGCGAACGTCTTGGAAGACTTGCATGTTGTAAATACGTACTCTTATCGGAAAGACTGATATGATAACTCTTTTACTGCTACTCTAATCGTGAATTCCTCACTTGGCATGACTTTAAAAGTGCTTGGGGATAAGAGCACATTTCGGCCGGATTTCTTAAGCGACGCCTACCGTGCCCCCACTATCGACTAGATCGATCGTGGGCCGATTAAA